TAAGTTTTATTTTTCTAATAAGATGGATTTAAGTTGTATATATGTCAAGAACCTTGATGTTTAATTAGGGTTTGCATTTACTACTGTTGCGAGAATAAAAATTTAGCCGTTATCTATGGCAATTAGACCAAAATTTCCCCTTGCAATTCAGTAAAACAATCTTCAAAGAAAAAAGAGATCACAATTTAAAGTACTGGTGATGAGTCCTATCCAGGTTATCTGAAGGATCTACCGATATGAGCCTTTTCAAGCTGCAGGTTCTTAATCCTACCACCTTCAGAGACATGTTTGCTAAGAACACAGGAGCCTTCCCTGTGACTGCTCCTGAAATCTGGAATTATTCTACATTTCTAGGGAGGCTAGGATAGCTCTTTCTTTGCTGTTATTTTGTGGTAGGTGAAGACTTTAAAAAAATCCAGCAGGCTTTTAGAATCTAATTGCTTTACAAGAATGGGGCCTTTTAGTGTGCTGTGCTGTGTTATTCTCTGTTTTTAAATTAAGTTTTCAAATGGTTTTAATTTTATTTTTAGATTATTAATCAAAACTTTTTATGCTTTTAACCATGGGTGTTTTTATTTGCAAATATTTCTGCTTCTAAGCCATCTTCGGTTCCAGTTTGGGAAGAAGGTGGGATATAAATAAAGTGAGAAGATCACATGAACCAAAGGAAAAGCAAACTTTTTTTAAAATCTCCACTCCTACCAAAATTATTTCCTGCGTGAACAATGTTGTGTGAAAGGACAAATGGAATAAGAAACGATGGTGGTTATTTGTAGGTGTTTGTGAGTTATGCTACATTTGTTATGTACAATAAATTAATAAAACTCTAAGTCATAAAAAATATGGTCATGCAGTTGAATGTCCAAAAGTGCTTGGGAACTATGCAAAATGAATCTCCTGCCAACTCCATTTATGATTAATAAATACTGGTAGAATTGAGTAATGAATGCTTAAGTTATATAATTGGTAACTTCCATAGTGGGAAAAATAATATAATAAATTGGATACTTTTTTCAGTTACACATATACTGTGTAACTGAACTGCTGGTATGAACTGCTTGTTTACTACTACTACTACTACTACTACTACTACTACTATATTTTTATATCCTGCCTTTTGCCGTGTCAATCAAGGAATGTATACTATCACACAAATTAATCTCTTTTCCTACCTTTATATCCAAATGAGCAACTCGACAATTGTGAAGGTACTGTAAGGCTTCCATTGTGTCTCTTATGTAAAAGGCTACTTTTTCCTCCATCAGTTCATCATGATTCATAAGGTAGTCCAAGAGACGGCCATCATCCATTCTAAAATCCAACAATTACCCATTATTAAATCTAGTGTAATAACAAAGAATGGCTGCTGCTTGAAACATTAGGTATTAGTTTAAAACTTTTTTTAAAAAGAATCACACTCTCAGCTCTTCATTACAAAAAAAAAAAAAAAAAAAAAAAAAATCCCTGAATGGTTTACAGATTATGATCAATATGAAGAAGAGATTTCCCACCAGCAAACTTATGATTATGTGGTAAATATTTCAGAACACATGAAGCATTTTTAAAGGAAGAATTAAATATTTTATTGTACAGTATATTGCAGTCTACTAAGGGTATGAAAAGGGATCTTGTAGCACCTTGGAGACTAACTGTGTGAAAGAAGAGGTAAGTTTTCGTGGACTTCCTCTGATGCATGGAGTGAACTGGTGCCCAAGAAGGACTTTTATAATCAGATTGAATGAATAGCCATGGGAATGCAAAACTCTTAAGAGCTCACCCATGAATTATATTGTAATAGATAAATGTTAATGCCAACATTTTATTTAGATATATTCTCTTAATTTAGATGTATACTTTTTTCCACTGATTTACAATGCCACGCAATGTGCACTGTGCTCTTGGGACCCCCAAGATAGAGTATTGATAGTCATATTGTTCTTGTGTTTATGGCAAAATGACATACTTTTATGAAAATCATGACATGTATGATGGAAAAGATGAACCCTCATAATAATGATTAACAAATTGAGCTTCCATTTAAGACTTACAGTTCTAAAACTAAGATATAGGAAGAGGGTGATTCATAAGTATCATGAATAGTGATATACTGAGGATGTTGTAAATGCTGCAACATGGCTGCCTCATGTGCTGCCTGCTCCTTCTTCTTCATTTTTTTATTGATGAATTTCACTGCAACATCCTTCCTAGTGGCTTTGTGAATACATTTCTTTACAACAGCAAATCGGCCCCTGGAAGGAAAAAAATGACAAAGTCTAAACAGCAAAGTCATTTCCTAAGAGCCTTTTTGAATCAAGTTACTAATACTGCTCACAAGATAAAAGCAAATAACTTTATTTTGCAAATTATGTGCCCTTTCCTCTTTACAATCTGGTTACTTTTGATTTTAGCAGAGGTAACAGAGTAAATTGTATAGTATTCATTTGTACACTGATGTCTAGTGTAGACTGTTTTGCAGCTTTTAAAAAATAGACCCTACTCTTAAAAAATGGCAGTTCCCATTAAAAGCTAACAATTATCAGAATAATTTGTTGTTAACTGCCTTCAAGTTGACCTCAATTCATGGAGACCCTGTGAATGACATCTCCAGGGCACCCTATCCTCAACAGCTCTGCTCAGATCCTGCAAACTCAGGGCCATGACTTGCTTGATTAAGTCTATCCGTCTGGTATGTGATCTTCCTCTCTTCTGTCTCCCTTCTATCTTTCCAAGCATTATTGTCTTTTCTAGTAATTCGTGCCTTCTCATGATGTGGCCAAAGTATGACAGCCTCAGTTTAGTCATCTTGGCTTCTTGGCAGAGTTCAGGCTTGATTTGTTCTAGCAACCATTTGATGATCTTATTAGATATCTACAGTATCTGCAGAACACTACTCCAAATACATATCTCAAAAGAGTTGATTTTCTTTCTGTCAGCTTTCTTTACCATGCAGCTCCCACACTCATACATCATGATGAGAAATACAATGGCATGGATAATCCTCACTTTAGTGTACAGTTGTATATCTTTGCACTTGAGGATCTTGTCTAGTTCTTTCACAGCTGTGCTTCCCATTTCTAGTCTTGACTATAATCTCCATTCTGATCAATGATTGATCCAAGATATATGAAATCTTTGACTTCTTCAATGTCCTCATTATCAGAATAATACTTCCTACTACTATTCTCTATATGTTCTTTTCTACCCCCTACAAGTCTACTATATGAGCTTACTAAACTGATGGGTTTGTACCAGGTGATATACAGTGGGATATGGGCATATATGTGTCTCTTCATATGCCCTAACATACACTGTCCTCTCATTTTTGGTAATGGCACATGAGGCTGAGGACAGTCAGGGAGGCTGAGGGAGAATCCTCTTCACTTTGCTTTACTTCAGCTGAGTCATTAAGTGATAAGTAAACTAGCAATGGGAACCCAAGGAATACACTCCCCCTCAAGATAATGTGCCTTAATGTATTTAATGTATCTTTCTAATGTACTAAAACCAAGTCTTCTAAAAAGTTATCTAAAGCTTTCCTAAAAGAGAACATTTGTTATGCTTGGCTTGTATTTTAGTGAAATAATTAATTTGAATATTACCTTCCAATCTCATTCAGCTCAGTATAGGCAAAATCAAAGTTCTCTTTCCAGGTAATGGTGGCACCATCTGCTGCAGCATCTTTGTTGAACCAAAAAAGGGTGAGGAATAGAATTGTAATATAAACTATAGAAATCATTACTTAATGTATTAAAAGGGGAAGGCATTAGAACAAATGAGAGACTTGATGAGCACAAGTGCTGAGGAGAGGGACACTAGAAAGATCATGTTTTCTCTCTACTATTTGAACTATCTCCTTCACATTTTTTGAGTTATCAGCACCAGCACAGTGACTTGTGTCATTCCAACCCCCCCCCCATCCCCATCCTGATAACTACAAATTGTTGCATCAGGCAAAAAACCTTATGGTGTTGTTGAAATATGGGATACCATGACAGGGCATCAGGTCAGGGAAATAATACTGGTTCATGAAGAGATGACCTTACTATTACACAAGGCGAGGTGGCTGTAGTTGTGGGTTTATATTTTCAACCACAATTGCTAAGTCTTCTCCTTCTCAGCACAAATGCAAACCTATTAATTCTTATGTGTTACATTGGGCTTTTCACTTTCTGAAAAGGGACATATTCCTCATTATTGATTAGGTGCTCACCATATTCTGGAAGTTTCACAAACTCAGAGGCCTCACTAGGTAAGCTAATTCCCCAGGGGTTGCTGGCACTGACTCGAAACTGATACTGACAGCCTGGTGTGAGGTCTTCAATGACGAGGTAAGTGTCCAACGTAGAGGCAACAGACTGCTGCCAGACCTGTGAGCCTGTTTTAAATGGGGAGAGAAAGAGAGATATGAAATGTAGTTACAGACACTGAAGAAAGAAGGATCTGCATGCCTTACTGACTCACTATCACACAAGGGGGCTGGCTCTTTATCTGCCTCTGAGTATGCATTTTTAAAAAGGGGCATTTCCAAATCCTCCAGGAAACCATTTCTAGTAAGAGAGAGTAGCTACCCCCTGCACCTTGTTGTTTAGCCTGAACTAATCATGCAGAAAAATGAAGTTGTAGGATGGATTATGCTGTATCTTACTGTAGGTAGAAGCAAGTGTATTTTAAAAATAATTATCTACATTGAAAACCTCTGAATTTAAATAACTATCATAGCAGAGAGAGGACAAAGGATGGAATCCTGCTGGGGTGCAACACTAGTAGAAAAACAACCGTCGTACAAGAATCTGTGGTTATCCAGAGATTTCAGTTCACTGTTGTACAAGAATCTGTGGTTATCCAGAGATTTCAGTCCACCAGTAGTTTCACAAGCACACAGAGCTTCTAGTAAAAATATAAAGAAATTGGTAGGTGGAGAGCTGATCATTGTCACAAATGACGAGTCAATGCCTGTGGCACAACAGGTTGTACTACTGTGATATCCTGAGTATACTGGGGTATAAGTGGTGTAGTGGTTTGAGTGTTGGACTAGCACTCTTGCATACCAGGGTTCAAATCCCTGCTCAGCCATGGAAAGCCATTGGGTGACCTTAAATAAGGCACTTCCTCACAGCCTCAGAAGAAAGCAATGGCAAAACTCCTCTGAACAAATCTTGCCAAGGAAACCCCATGATAGGTTAACCTTAGGGTCATCATAAGTCAGAAAATACTGACATTTGATATCCATTCCACCTCTGTTTTGCTGTATAAAGATCCATCTGTAATAAGCTTTAAATTACTATTGTATATACTGATTTTGCTAAATGATGGTGGAATCATTCAAACCACCAGAAGTCAGACAAGCAGAAGAATAATGTCTTTGAGAATTACTGGGAAGACATTTTAAAGCGGTTGTTTCACATATTTATGAGTTGTATCTGAAATTTACTCTGGATTTTAATCAAACAACTTCCACATTTTGAGATTTCATAGTTTTGTTATTGTACAGTTGGCCCTCTGTATCCACGGATTCTGTAGCCAAGGATTCAAGCATCCATGGCTTGAAAATATTTTTTAAAAATCGAAGGAGCAAACCTTGATTTGCCATCTTATATAAGGGACACCATTTTACTATGCCATTGTACTTAATGGGATTTGAACATCCTCAGATTTTGGTATCCGGGGGTGTGTGGTCCTGGAACCCAACCTCAGGGGATACCAAGTGGCAACTGTATTTGTAATCCTCCTTAAGAGATAATATGGGTTCATAAATAGCTTAGAAACGTAAATGAATAAGTAAAACCCAATTAATGTATAGAATTAGAGCAATTAAATTGTCAGAGGTGCTGTGGCTGGGAGATGTTTACTGGCTAAAGGGGGATGGAGGGGAGGCAGACAGACAGCACCTGTGCTGGCTGCAATTCTGCAGCTGGGGTGAAAGATATGAGGTTGGCCTTCCCTGTATGGGCATTCCCTGGCCACTTGCACCCACAAGGCCTGACAGTAGCTGGGCCTGTGTATTTGGATGTTGCATGAGGAGCTACTAAGCAGGACCATGCAGATATACACATGTATAACCCCAAATTATGTTAAACATCTCACTAAAAGGATTCCAGCTATTCTCATAATCTGCAAGATAGCACCAGACACTTTAGCAGAAACAGAGCAGGTGAGACTTGAAATTAAAAGCATCAGAATCAGCCTATGATCTCAGCTCAACTGCTCTGCAGAAAATAATTATCATTATATCACCACAGATTAGAGCCCTAAAAATCCCAATGGGTTGTTGTTGTGTGCCTTCAAGTTGCTCTAAGGGGAACTTATCATGGGGTTTTCCTGGCAACATTTGTTAAGAGGAAGTTTGCCATTGCCTTCTCCTGAGGCTGGAGCCTTCTCCTGAGGCTGAGAGCATGTGACCTGCCTAACATCTCCCAGTGGGCTGAGCAGGGAATCGAACCCTGTTCTCCAGAGCCTTAGTCTAACACTCAAACCACTATGCCATTCCCAATGAGTATAGAAAATTAACTAAAGGTTGACACAAGTGCTCCTATAGAAAAAGCCAAGTAATGCTCATACCTTCTTCTCTGTACTCCACTGTGTAGCCTGAAATAGTGCAATTCCCTGTACTGGATGGAGGCAGCCAACGAAGAATGACAGAGGTGCAGCTTCTTTCCTGAGCAAGAGGGCGATTTGGGGCTGCAGGGACACCTGGAAGTGGGGAGAAGTGGTGGGGAATAGACAAAGATTGTGAAGAGAGCTTTGCTATTGGTGTTTCAACATAAAGCATGTGAAATAAAGGTTGGTTATAAACTAGGTGTTGTAAAAGAATCAAAAGCTTAGCAGAAGTACCAGATGCGTATTGGGATGCTACTAGCAGAGACTGTGGGAGACCATGAGCAGATCCTTTACCTGTGTGTTTTTGCCCTGCAGAGCAATAGCAGATGGGAGGCAGGGGAGTTTCAGAAGTGGAAATGAGATATAGGGAAAGGCAGATTGCTGTCCCCGTGGGCCACAGCCCCAATCCAATCTACTGTATACTAAAAGATGCAGGAAATTCATTTGAGGACCTAGGGGGCAGCAAGAGCAAGAAGCAGAAATGCCCCCGCATCTTCCTACTGCTGCTCTGTCCTCCTCTTTCTTATGTGGGTTAAGGTGCTCTTTAGTACTGGTTCCCCCCCACACACAAATGCATGCCCACATATACAACTGCCTCCAATTGTACCTTTTCTGCTTTGAAAGAAAGAAAAGGGGAGGGAGGGAAACATGGTGGTAACTCTGGCATACTGCCACAAGAGAGGGGCAAGGGCAATGGGGAGCCTGACTGTTCTTTCAGATGTCTGGCAGAGCCAAGCAACTGTGAAAGAGGAAACAGGATATCCACTCCTTTTCTTTCTTTTGTTTTCTTTCTATAACAGTGATAGTATGGCAAGGCAGGGAATGTACACTTTGACAGCCTATATTTGCTGGTGGTCCAGTTTTGTCTTCCCCAGACTGCCTTAGCGCCATCCCTGGAGTCAAGTTAGACAAAGTAACTTCCATTTAACTTTACTGATCCCATTCATGTTTCAAAGAATGCGACATATAAGAGCTTCTACAGCCTGAGGACAAAAATCAACCATTTTTATCAGATTGTATCACTTTGGAAGGTGTATGTTTACGGGATGTATCATTATCATCATTATTTTTATTTACTTATACCTCAACTTTCTCCCATGATAAGGACTCCAGGTGGCTTACAAGTCACCTGTAACCTTATGTTAACCCTATGAATTTCAAAGGGCTTTCTTAGGCAAGGAATATTCAGAGGTGGTTTTGCCAGTTCCTTCCCCTGAAGGAAGCTACATCAGCTGGTATTTGTTGGCAATCCCCCATCCAAGTACTAACCAGAGCTGGCCCAGCTTAGCTTCCGAGATCAGATGGGATCTGGTACCTTTCAGGTATTTTAAAATTATGATCCCTTCATAATATGGAAAAGGTAGAATCCTAGGAAGTACTGGCAGATGGCAGTATTCACCTTCATTCTTGGATGCATTCTCAGAAGGAGACAGAAGTCTACGAAAGCTCATGCTGCCAATTTCTTTCTTTCAGTGAGTCTCAAATGTGCTACAAAATCTCTCTACATACTGATTCTACAGACTAACATGGCTGTATCTTTGAATTCATGCTCCCATGTACTCAAAACAAACATTTGCCAAGAGAAAACCCAGCATACAGAAAGACCCTCAGGGGAAAGGATTTTGCTCTCCCAAGGCTCCTTATCTTGGAGGGTGGGTGGGGAGAAACTACAGATCCACAACATGAGTATAATTAGTTCTTCTTGACTCTTGTTCTACAAAAATAATTTGACAATTGCTTCATCCTGGCAGGATATCACAAAAAGAGCAAGAAAAAACCACCCTGGGATGGAAAACAGCTTACTTCCTGCTACCTTAAGTGACTTTTTACTCCCTACTACAGAGAAAGGAACTGGCAGAACCACCACTGAGTATTTTTTGCTTAAGAAAAACCCTATGAAGATTCATGGGGTTACCACAAGTAGACAGGGGACTTGAATGCACACATACATGTGTGCACACAGAGAGCGTAACTTAAGATATAACAGGGGTAAAAGAGTTAGTAGAAACCCTATTGTGTTCAGAACTGGCAGAATTATTCCCACACGCAAACTGTGGACCCAGCTGCACTGCAGAAATAATCCAGTTTGCCACACTTTAAGTGCCATGGCTCAATGCTATGGAATTCTGGGAGAGCTCTGGGGCCACAACAAACTACAATCCCCAGAATTTCATAGCACTGAGCCGGGCCAGTTAAGATGGTGTCAAATCAGATTATTTCTATAGTGCAGGTGCAGCCTGAAACTACATTAGGCAAAGCAAAATAACTGGTTGGTCCCTTTTCAAGGCAAAAAGGCACAACATTTATTTTGCTGGCTTCCAAAGCTTACAGTGTGATTAATTTTTTGCCTTTTTAGTGGCCTAGTAAAGAAGCAATGTCTTTTATAGTCAATACAGCTACTGCTGCATTTGTGGGTCCCTTATGAAGGGGGAAAAGATAGCAAACCAATCTATCCATTTCCAAATTTCTTCAAGGAGATTGTAGAAGGAAGGAGGTTCAGAAGACAAAGGGGAGTACTAGAAAGAAAAGGATGTACTCAGCTATTCCTTGTCTTAAGCATGAGAATGGAATTTATTACTTTACCTAACCCAGATGAGCTCAGAGTCACTTGCAAGCAATCTGAGCGATCAGATACTTATGGCAGGGATAACTGCTAATGACTTATCTGTAATTCCATTTCTGAACTATGAAGTGACAGAGAAGAGAGGAGAATTCTCTCTGTGTGAGACAGAGTATAAAGAGACTGTAATTTCTTCCCTTTCTCTTTTCTCTTTCTTTCTCCCCCTTTTCTTATCCTCCACCCCTCCCTTCCATCTCCTAGCGGCAGACAATATCTTCACAATGGAAAAACAAAATCTCCTGCCTTTTATTTGCCTTTCTTGTTTGCACCATAAAGTAGGATGAAAGTCTATCCTGGACAGCCCTAACTTTTTCCAACTTGTGCATTTAATGTAGCATACAAAAGATAAATGACAAATGACCACAACCAGTCATTCCTTCTTAATCTCTGCAGCAACCTCACCTCATGCATTATTTTTATTGTTTTACATTGTTTTCAAGTGCTTGAATCAGTTTTACTGGAAAAGCTCTCGTGATATAGAATGGGTTATAAATATTTTCATAAATAAAATAAATCCATAGTGAAATGTGGTCTGTGGCAAAGAGAGCTTATTATGTCAGTCCAATGGGCCATGACTGGACATGCTTTCTAAACTGGCTACACGAGGACATCAATACCTCATTGTTTATCTCACTTCTTATTTTCATAATCCTGTAAACATGTGCCTGTACCACAGTTGACATGTCTTACTACTTTTGGAACTGAAATCCTCCACATAATTCCCTTTATGATGCTTGTTGTAGCCCGCATCTCTTCAACTGAACTGATCATTCTAGGAAAAGAATCCATTCTTGAAAGGGGGGTTATTTTATTGTCTATGGTTATGGACCCAATACAGATTATGTGGATTTGTTTT